GATCCATTTATATATTTCTGCTTTTATTTCTAATTATGTCAGATTCAGTCCTCCATAAAAGCCTGCTCAGTGTTTTAGTTGTGTTGTGCTTTTATTTTGAAACCTGTCGAACTTCTTTACCTGCTGCAAAAATGCAACTTAAACAAGAGAGAAAATCTGTTGTTTTTTTTTTACATGAGCTTTTAATTGTGAAAAATGAACCAAACTGTCAAAACATCTTCATCTCCACAGTCTTTAATCACTAAACTTTCAGATGTTTTGAGTTTTTTATCTTTTTTTTTTTTTTAACTGAACATGTCTGAACGCCTTCAGAGCCTCGGCTGTTTTAAAGCTTTCAGCTGAAGATGATTATACGTCTGGTTGTGATGTCAACAGGTTCTCTGCTGTCGGATCACTTTAATAAGCACTTCAGTCAGCGGTGATTTCCACATTTTGTCTTTTAAATCCCCCCCCACCCCCTACACACACCTTTAATATCAGCTGCTATCAAACTTCTCCTCCGGCTCTTTTTTAATTTAATTTAATTTTTATAACTTTTACGTTCTCTGTGAAGCCCTGAGGAGTCGAGTCCACCGCCCGCCTGGATGACCCGGTTCACAATGCTATCTAAAGTCCAGATCTCATTCCTTGCCACCACCTCTCCCACACACACACACACACACACACACACACACACACACACTTGTTACACATTCCTCTTCTGACAGCTCTCATTGGTCGATAACCAGGATGACCGGCGTGGCTGCTTCTTGACAGAGGATTTAATTGGCTGTTGACAGTTCCCCTTTTATTTTTTTACTCTTTCAGTTCTCTGCCTTACTTTCTCTTTACCTGGCTGCGCTTCAGGACTGCTCATGTGAGCTCCTGCAGTGCGTTTCTTTGTTTGTTTGTGGTTTTTCTGTCAACGGATTCGAGCTTTACGTCCGCCGCTGAAGTCAGCTCTGCTCAGAGGAGGTAAGAAGCTGAACGGTTCAAACTTCCTGACAGAATGAAAGCGTCGTGTCAGAGCTCTTCTTGTCTGCGTGATAAGGATCTTAAAACGTAACTTATTGTGTTGTTTTTTTACCTTTTTGTCTTTGTTGGGGTGTTTTAGCAGAATACCTCACTGGACCCACTCGGACAGATTTTAATAAAACTCTCAAAGTGACACCTGGCTTGACTTCTACAACTGATTAACTTTTAAAACGAGGTTTACCGACATATTAACTGATCACAAACACATGAACTGATCACAAACACATGAACTGATCACAAACAGAAACATAGCTGGAGTGACGTCAGTTTTACAGAGACTGAGTTTAAAATTCATTTTGGTGGAGCTGAAAATCATTTGCAATTTTCAAGCATTAACAGATTAAATTATTTCCACAAATTGACCWAAAAAATCAAGAACTTTGTTGATTTTTATCACAATAAGATGGTAGAGCTATGTTCCTAAATTGTTTACTTGTTTGTTTTGTTTTGTTTTGTTCAGAATATAAGGAGGAGTTCAATGTGGGTCAGTGTATCTTTTGGTTATTGGACTTTTATTTTAGAAACGGGTATTAAAAAACTGTAACGAGTGCTTATTTGATTTTTGTTTTAAAATGCAGAAATTAAATGAAAAAACAAAACGTGTCTCGTTCTTGGTGTCAAAAAGGGATACGTGAAATAACAAATAAGAAAATAACTTTAAAGCAGAAACAAAAAAAGTTGTGTTTGTTCATATTCTACGAC